GGTTCTCAGAAGTCAGGGGCTCAGGCCGCAACTGATGGCCAGTGCAGCAAGGTGGCAGTTACCTGCTCTGCCCTCCTCCACCTGAACAGGTGTGGAGGCTGCCCCTGTCTCCATGGAAGCTGCCGAGTTCTGTGCCTGAGTGCCCCAAGCTGCCTCTCATTTGGTGCCCTCACTGGGCACTGCCAGACCAGATCTCCTGCTGGTGACCTGGGCCCAGGAGGTCATGCTACTTCTTGTTTCCCCTTTTGGAATATGCTCTGGAACCCACAATTAGAGCCCACAAAATGAGTTCTTTTTATCCAGTGATATGTTTTTCTAGGAGACAGTTTTAACTCTTGGTCATAACTTTCTCGAAGGCACCATTGAAACATCTGAGGACTTACTAGATGTTTTGAGCGCTTTCTGGAAACTGATGTTCATTTCCCCCACAGTTGGTTGGTAAGGAATTGAGAAGTGTTGAACACAGAATGACAATGTCCCGTCTGGTGACTCGGAGCTGGACCCGGAAGCCAGGACCCAGTGTTTTAATCTGTGGGTGTCGTGCAACCACCCCAGGCCGCGTAGGCTCACTGTCAGTTCTTGCAGAAGGAAAGAGAACTTTGGAGCCTTTAGTAGGTTTTGCAGTCCTTTAATGCTGAGCGGGGGGGCCATATATACAGGCAGGCAGGCAGCAAGGGAGCCCTGAGAGGCAGAACAGCAACTCCCTGTGCTCTAGTTACACAAGTGATACATGGTTGCAAATGCAAGGCTCATCTGTTGTTTGCTAGATGTCCCAATGGTGGAAAACATGGTGGAAAACATGGCATTTCAAGGTATGGGCTGTCCGCTGTGTGGGAGGCAAAAAATAGCCTGATTCACTCATTTTCCTCAGGGTGGGTCTCTTATCGCCACATACAACCAAACTCAGGATTCTGGGACCCTTTTAATCAATAGATTGGTTGGACCTGAGCTTTAAAGATTTGAGAAAAAGATTTCCACAGAAGCATGTAGCAGAGGAATGGACTATGCCCTCTTGACTAAGAAACAAATCATCAAAGCAAAATTGCTAGTAGGACTTAGACTTCCTGAGGTCAAGAATATGTCTGTTGTGTCTGTTTTGTTCTTTGCTACTTCTCCAGCCCCTGGAATAGAATCTGGCATGGCATAGATGCTCAGTGAAGAGCTGTCCTTCAGGATAGCCTTACCTTAAGTTTTTCCTGTTGTGATTCACAGATTGTAGTTGTGGCAGATCTTTGCTTAAACTTTCCAGTCTCTTTGGGTAGAGTTAGCCTCCGTTGGCTAATGTTACCATCAGCCAGAATTTATCCCTTAATCGTGTTCGCCTAGATGTGTCTGTATTTACTTATGAATATAAGGAGCAAAGATGGAGGTGCACTGAGGGCTTAAAGCATACATTTTAGACAGCATCATAGTGGAGTGTGTCCTGTTGTTTGCTCCCCTGAGCTCATGTCAAATATGTAACTAAATAAATGTAACTGGTTTTCAGGAGCAACTGGGACTTGCCAGTTGCTGTGTCAAGTCAAGGCACTGAATCACCCCACTGTAAATCATGCTCCTGAATTGGGGCTGTGGTGTTTGCGTGCAGTCGAACCCTTCTTGTCCCCCTAAGACGTGTGCTCCAAGGCGGCAGATGGGTGTGTTTGTGTATCAGTGCTTTCTTTTAAAAATGAACTTGTAGAGAATTCCTGTTTGAGGGGTAAGGGCATGACTTGGCATTGGTCAGGATAGATCTGGTCTCCTGTGGGTGTGGTTGACCTCAGGTGTGGATGTGGGCGTGTCAGAGCCAGGCTCCTCACCTTCACACTCACCAGGAGGGCAGCTAGCAGCAAATTGGGTACTGCTGACCCTGGGCGCCATGTATCCGGGAGCAGAGGTTCAGGTCTCCAAGCCTCTACCCCTTCGAGCTCTTGTTCGACATGGTGTGGCTGCTTCCTGTGAGGCCACCTCAGGACCCTTGGTTCTCTCCTCTCTGGGCCAAGGAGCAGTTTCCCAGCCCTCAGCTTTGTTTGGGCTGAGTGGTCAAAATAAATACCCAGCACATCCTCTTAGCCTACACGGGCCTTTACTCTCCCTCTGAATGCCCTGCGTTTCATCATCATTAATGGAGCTATTGTGGGTTGATAAATGGGAAGGAGGCATCAAGGGGCTGAGAGGCCTTGTGGTGACAGAAGCTGCCCGCACAACCTCGGCTTGGGCAGTGTGTACACAGAGAGGGTTTGGGCCCAGGAGGAGTGAGTCATGGCCAGCCTGGGAAATGCACAGGTGATGATGGATGGCCAGGGTGCTCGGATGCACCCCTGACACTATTTGCACAAACAGGGAACTCAAATGAACGGGGTTTTCACGAGCTTATATAAGTCAGTTGGCAGTGCATGGTGCCCCAGCTGTGTGGCATGATGGGACAGAGCTCTGCGTTCCTGCTTAGAAACAGGTGACTTTAGGAACCAGTTTACCTGTGTCAGGACTTGAAATGGTTTGCTCTGCCCTTCTGTTGTCATAACCCCCCCTGTCTCTTTGCCTTTCTCTTTGTAAAAACTTTCTTTGCAAAGGGATTCTTACAACTGGGACAGTAGGGCTACTGTTGCTTACAGCAGCCGCCCAAGGGGTTTGCTTTTCTTTGGGACTCTGACTTCCTTGAAAGACGCGTCAGGGAGGGGACAGCAGGTGTGTGTGACTGAGTGTGTTGTGAGAGCTGTGTGTGGGGGGAGGGTGCGGGGCGGGAGTGGGGTTTGGCTGGAAACTCACCTCAGCACATTCCTGGGGTCACATTCCTGGCCTGCCCTGGCTCTGTGGGGACAGAGGCTTCTCCACACCTGGCACACAGTAGGAACACCCTTTGTCCCTCCCGCCAGGCCCATGCTAAGGCAGGCAGAGCAGGAGATACCATCATATATGCAGCTAACAGTCAGAGGAGGGCGTGGCCCTGGAAGGGTCACCAGCATGCCAGAGCAGGGCTTAGACCCCCGCCCATGGCAGTGCCCCCTGGCACACTGCCAGCCTGGCCATGAGCCCTCTGCCTACCTGGAGGCTCAAGGGGCAGGGATGTCTGAGGTGTGGAGCCTGTTTTTTCAGACCACATCCAAGTGTGGGCCACCCCACTGTCACAGCTGGGGCTCCATGTCCTGCTCCTTCAGTGGTGGGGTCATGCTGGTAGTGACTCCTGTCTAGCCCCAGCCACTACTGAGTTTTCCTGCCACTGCCAGGACCGTGCAAACCTTTGGAAACCACCAACTTTTGTTCTTGATTTATCATTTATTTATAAAAGTTTTTCTCCCCCTTATTAAAAAGCAGTACATGATTATTAGGGAAAGTCAGGAAAAACCAAGAGGATGAAAAAAGTGTGACACGCTTACCATCCTGGTGCAGGCGACATGACATGCCATTTCTGGCGCTTGGGTTTCCTGACTTGCCGTGGGCGCTTGTGACTGTCGCTGATATTTCCGTGTCCCGTCTTCGCCAGGCCGTCTCGTCACCGTCGTGGATGGCTGGGCCGCCCCTCTGCGACCCCCTCGTCACGAGCCAATGTCCTCAGAGCCACATCTCTGCTAGCATTTATTACTAACACTTGTTGAGTGCAAGGCATATTTTTGTTGGGGTCAATTCTTAGAAGTGGATTTTCTGGGGTAGAGACTATGAATGCCTTTCAAGTTTCCACACTCATGGTGAAGATTCACGAAAGAGTGGACTGGAGTGAAAAGTAAAGGAGGGAATACAGTGAAAACTTAACCCCTCACTCTGACCTCTGAAATGACCACAGTTAACAACTTCTTAGGTATCCTTCTCGAAGGGGATATGCATGCTGTTTTAATATACATCAGCTCCTAACTTCCCCAACAGTATCATGGATTGTTCTGGTTAACAGCGTGTCCGGGGTAACTCCCACATCAGCGTCTGTTCGTGGAGTAGCTGTACCAGCCCCTCCCTAATCAGTGCACTTTTCTCCCCTTTTTTTTAAAATTACAGGGATGTTTCAGTGAACATCCTCGTGTCTTGGTTTAGTTGTGCAAGTTGCAGAAGAAATGTTAGAAGTAGAATTACTGAATTGGAGAGTTATGCCCACTTGGGATTTTTGTGATGCTAAAGCGGTGTGCACGCTGGCACTGTCCATCTATTGGCTGATTAATAAACAGAAAGCTGTCTCTAGTCACACTCTGACCAGCAGAGCTTGAGAATGTCTGTTTCCCAGTGTCTTTCACAAACTCTGTGGGTGATCAATTTTAAAAAAGAGAAAGGCCATTTATTAGGTAAAAAAGAAGGGGTCTGGTATTTGTACCTTTCTTTGCGTTCTTCTGTTTTTAGCATGTGCTCCTTCTCTTAGCTGAGATAGTGCTGCGGAGAAAGCATCTTGGGAAAAGCTTTGTCTGGCCTGTGTGACTAGCCCTGTCCTGCTTGGGGGACCTCCCTGGTGTATCTGAGTAAGCTCTTGCTCCTGCCCTGTGCCCACAGTCTGCTCTGTCCCTGCAGCGCCATTGCCCCACAAGCAATGGCGCTTCTGGTGAGGGAACTTCTGATGTTGCAGTTTCACCCAGTGTTGTCATCCTTGCAAGTCGTCAGCTCCTTCACTCACCCCACACTCTCCCTGACCCCCACATTCATCCCCACCCCTGCCTCTGGTACCTGAGATCACAGGGTAATGGGCTTTGGCTGGTTTTGAAGGAGGGTGGGGATGTGAGTTGTCCTGCTGGGAGGAAGCCTTGGGACCCTTTCTGAACACAGGATGGGGCCTGGCTGAGTACCCCGCACCAGGCCCTGTGCTGGATGCCCCACGAGGATCATTCCTGTGACTCTTCTGTGGCCGATGGTGACTTGTCTGTCGCACTTTGTGCTCAAAGACCAAGCTTGTTGTTGCCAATAATCTATTTAACACAGGTTACAGTGAGAATTACAGTTTATAATAATATTTCACAAGCCAGGAACATGCAGGATAATATCTCTTAATAAGCCAATAAAGAAATAACATAATCCAAACCAATGATAGATTAATTACACTGTTGTTCCAGATAAAGGGGAGATGAAAGAAATAATGTCCAGCTTTAGCTGTGGTGCACGGCCTTTGAACAAGATCTCATTCCACATCACTGTTACAACACTGCTGTGGAGGCTGCACATTTCCGCTGTGTCTGCGTGGGTTTCTCTGGGAACTACATTTTTTCCCCGCACCCTACAGACATGCACGTCAGGTTTGTTGGTGTCTAAATTGCCCCAGTATGAGTGAGTGTGGGGGTGGGGACAGTTTCCATGGAAGGGGCTCCTGTCCAGGCTGGGTACCTGCCCCGTGCCCTGAGCTGCCAGGACAGGCTCTGGCTACCCGTGACCTTGAACTGGAGTAATCGGATTGGAAAATGAATGAACAATATCAGGAGTGTCTTGGGTCTTTATGTGGATGTTTGGTGATATTTTTGTGGATAGAACTATGCCATAAGAAGCTAACTGTTGTTTATATATAACTTAACCTATGCTAAAATGGGTTTTGTTTTATATCATTTTGCTTAAGGGTTTGGCTTTCAAGACCTGACCGGCAGTGCGAAGTGAGGACCTGCTGCCCCTTGCTCTGGGCTGACTCTGTGGAGGCAGTACTTCTAGCTCAGCGCTGGGGTGAGCTGCGGGGGTGTCCTTGCTGTGGGGGCACATAGCTAGTGGGCAGCAAGGTGGCCTGCTCTGAGGCTGAATACTCTGGGGATAATTACCTGCACCCCCACCTACAAGGAATGCCTCCCCAACACCGAATCAGAGGACCCTGCTCTTTCAGAGGCTCTGCATTGTTTGTCACCACTGCCCACCAAGAGCAGCGGGCCCTGCAGACACAAGCTCTCTAGGTTAGCAAAGCGCACCTGGCCCAGACCCTATGCTCTCGAGTTACTGGTCAGCCCACTTGGTTTTTAAAGTTTTCAAGTTTATCGTGTGATGGACACCACTGCCACTACTCTGGTGTCCATGACATAATGATCGTGGTCCAGCCCAGGTACAAGTTAGGTCAGAAAGTCCTACTAGCCACCTTCAAAACAATTTCATCTACACAAGTTATTCAGAACAATTCAAACCACAAACAACTTTGTCCAAAGCAAACTTTCACGACACGGATTTGAAATCATAACAATCCAGCACCGAGGGCAACATTATTCTTCTTGCAGGGGTTCAGAGAGGTTGAGAGACTTTCTGAGAGTCACACACAGCGTGTGGCAGAGCCCAGGGCCGACCTTCTTGCAGGCCTGTGCTCCTTCTACCAGTTATGCTGCTGAAGACAGGTAAAACCCCAGTTTATATCCAGTATTGGTCTGGAACACCACCACCAGAGAAGTTTTACTGGTCAAGGTCAGAAGGGTGCTTGAGCTTCAGGGTGCCAGAAAACATCCCCTCCTAACTGAGGTGGCACCTATCACCCAGCCTCCTAGGTAGACAGTGGCTGCATCCCTTGCCACCTCCTTGTGAAGCAAAGTGAGTCTCTGCAGTGACATCATGGCAGGAAGGAAGAGTCCTGCTCCCCAGGGGGCAGACCCTGCTGGGTGAGGGCTTCTTGCCAGGGAGGATGGCCAGGGCTCCCAGCTCAACAAGCAGGGAGAGAGACTGCTCCCTTGTTTGGGGTGATTGGGACACCTGTACTCCTATATCAACTAGGTGACATTTTATTTCTAAAAAGGAAAGCAAGTTTGAATTGATTCCTTTAATTTTTTGAAATTTCTAAATAGTTCTTTTTTCTGCTTATGCTTACTGTCAAATGTCCAAACAATAGAGTATATATCATATCTGGGCATCAACAGATATTTAAAGGAATATTAATATAGAAAGTTTAAATTCCTTGGTCTATCTCCCAGAGGTCACTGTAGCAGGGTGAATTAAGTTTCACCATTTTTTGTAGGCGCGTGTGTGTGTTTGTGTGTGTGCATGCATGCATACACATACCTATAGACACACATGTATCCTTGTTATTTACACAGATGGCCTTGCATGATGCATATTGTTCTGCATTCATTGAATAATGTGTCTCGGGCATCTTTCCACAGCATCAGTAGAGAGCACCTTCCCTCCTTTCAGACATCTGCTTTGTGGTTTATCCTACGAATAGTCTACAATTTATTGAAGTCCTTTATTGATGAACATTTGGGAAGTTTCCAATTTTTCATTTTTTCAGTGTTGCAAATAGGATACTATTTTGAAGGATCTCTTTGAAATGGATAGAAAAAGTCTGGAGCACATTAACTTGATGCTTGGAAATCATTGATCACCTGTTTTGCAGAAGCCCCCGCTGATGGAGCCACTCAGAATTCAGTTTCCTTCTCCTGGGTCGCACTGCTTGTGACCTGCTTCCTCCTCCTCTACTTGTCCATCAGCATGGCCCGGTGGGTTCCTTAGCTCTTTCCAGTAGCTGGCAGAAAGATTTCTCTATATTTCCTTTCCTTTTTCTGGGGTGGGGGACGGGAATGGGGAGAGGAATTTGCTTTTGCTTTTTAAATTTAGTTTTCACCGTTGCCAGAGTTATGCACGAGCATGCAGTACTAAAGAGTTCTGTAACCATGTGAAAAAGAAGTCTCCCTTCACCTACATACTCATCTATTCCCATCTTTCACTTCCCAGTCACCCAATTTCAAACCTTTGAGCTGAATTTTTTTTTGGTATTTACTTCCATAACTACAGAACATGTTTGCATTGCTACTTTTAAACATTTCTTAGTTTTAAGTATTGTATCTTGGCTTCCCACTGTGGAGGGCGAACCACCAGCTTGCCTTTCTACTTCTTACCCACTTCTTATACACATTTGCTCTCATAATGTTTCCCCCACCTCCCAAGAGAGTTATAGGGTATATTTTGATAGATTAATATTCAGTATTTACATTACTTGGCCCAGGTCAGATTAAACGCTGAATATATTTCTTTGATTATGCAATCTTTTATTTTCTCCACAATTAATAATTGTTATTTGCTTAATTTCCTGTGCATTCAACATTATTTTATTTCCACATTATCCCCCAGGATATGTATTATGATACCCATGATGTGGTACCAGGTTTTCCTGAGGAAGCCTGTCTGGAGGCTTCTAACCAGCCCTGATCTGGATGGTGCCCTCTTTGCTTGGTTACATCCATAATCCTGAGCTTTCCCTTCACCACTCCTCCTGGGAGTTGGCTTCATATCTCTTCTAGTAGAATTTCCTGCTTGCTTTTTCCCAGGCCTTCCTCCTTGATTTACACCCTCAGTTGGCAGAGCACATTCTCTATGGCTTTCTGAGAAAGGGTGCACTGGAGGTAAAGTTTTTTTAAAAATCTTGTATGTATTACAGACTCTTCCTTTTACCTTTAGACTTAATAGTTTGGTTGTGTATAGAATTCTAATTTGAAAATGATTTTCCATAAGAATTTGGAAGACTTTGCCCCTGACCTTTATCTCCTGAAATTGCTATTGAAAATTCTGATATCATTTGATTCTCCTTCTTTTGTGTAAAACCTATTGTTATTTTCCTTCTAGAGGCTTCTAAGAACTTCTGTTTCCAGTGTGTTGAGATTGATACTAGGTGTGATTCTGTTACCATTAATTTGCAGGGTACTCTATAGGTTCTTTAAATCTAGAAACTCAGGTAATTTAGTTTTTGGAAATCTAGAATTATTGATATTCTGATATCTTCCTATCCTGTGTTCTCTGTTCTCTTTTCTCTCTCTCCCCCTCTCTGTCTCTCTCTCTCCATCCCTCCCTCCCTCCCTCTCATTTTGGACTCTTATGTGGTTGATTGCAAAAATAGCCTGTTCCTCATATCTCTGTCCTTTGCGGTGTAACCTTGTGGTCTCCTCCTACTCTGATTCATGGGTCAGATGTGTGGTTTGCTTTCAGCAAATGGGATGTTGCTAATCATGATATAGATAAAGGGCTGAAAGCCACATGGGTGTTTGAGCGGCTTACTACCATCACCCAGAGAAGGACATGCCCAGGTTAACCCACTGGTTCTGGAGGGAGGATGAGAGACAAGTGGAGCAGAGCGAACCCCTAGCCAAGATTAGCAGCCACTCCCATGCATGAGCAATAAATACTTATTGTTGTATGCCACTCTACTTATTTTTACAAGGTGTTATAGTTGTTTATTATTCAATATTTTGTGGTAATAACTGACATATGTGATTATTTAAATGGTGAACCTCTTAAAACAATCTCTTAATTTTCTTTTCACAGTTCTTTCTGGGAGAGGCTTTCAATACCTTTCATCTCTTCTACTGAGTTTTTCATTTCACTGTCAGATCTTTAACTTCCAAGAACTCTTTGGTTCTCTGCATGTTGTTTTGTAGCATCCTATTCTTGATTCATGGAAGACATTTCATTTCTTATTAAATTACTATTTTTTTAAAAGATTTATTTATTTATACAAGAACCGGGGTATAGGCCAGATGCGCAGGAGGGTGAGAGGATTCACCAGAGACAAAGTAGGGAGCAGAACAGGCAGATGACCGAAATACAGTGCTGGGGGGAGCAGCGGGCGAGACAGGAGAGGTGTGCTGTGCCACGTGGGATTCTCGCTGGCAGGTGGATCGAACCTGCACCGCAGAGGCTGCGGACATCTTCACAGTGCGGCGCTCAACCGCCTGCGCCACCGGGGAGGCCCAAATTAACTATTATTTTTAAAAGTTTTTCTTTCTTTGCATTGTCTCTTTCTTCCATGTTGCTTTTTGTTGTTTATTTTGTCCTTTAATGTTCATATTAGAGAATTTCCTCTAATGTCTGATAATCCTTTCCATTTGTGGTCACTGAAAAGCTTGTTGGAAGCTCTGTGTGTGTTGTCAACACAACAACAATCCTTTTGAGGGAGCTCTTTTTGGTATGGTTAGCAGGATGACAGAAAAGCCTCCTGCAATCTGGGGACATTTGGGAACATTTGCTGCATTGCCAGCATGCTGAGAAGCTGATGGGGAAAGAGGCAGGGATCCTTAACATTCAGAGTATAAACTTTCACTTAATCCCCCTGTTTTCAGTATGGGGATCCCTGCTCTCAACTGTGGTTGGTAGCCCCAAGTCAGAGTCCGTCTGCTTAACCCTTCATAGAAAACAATTCTCCAGTCTTCCGCCAGCAGGGAGAGGTGGTCACCTGGCTGCAGAGAGCCGGAGTGGGCGTGTGTCTGGTGAAAGCTGATTATAAGGGCTTTCTGCCAGCCCTCCTGCTCTCAGCCTCACCTCTAATTCCTAGCACTTTGTAGAATTCTGTGGTGAACATCTGCTAGGTTTTTGGCTTTCTTCACTGCTGACTTAGGATTAGTTTACCTAGGTTTGGTAAGTCAGTTTCTGTAACCTCGCTGCTTTCTAGTTTTCAAAATGCTCCTGTTTCCTTGTGGATTTAGACATGCTTTTCTTTACATAGTGTTTTATTTAATGGCATGTCTTAGTACATCTTTGATAGTACATGATAGTGGTAAAAATTAAAACAACCCCAATTAAATGATCTTCCCTCATGATTTGTTCCCTCCATTCATAGCCAGTCAGGTATCCTTCCAGAAAATTTCACCTTTATGAATTAAATGCATGTGTACCCTGAAACACTTACACATATAAACACATACACTTTGTAAATGTACATGAGATAATTTATTCTACACTATACTATACATAC